AAGTGACTCAGATCCAAGAGTCAGTCCATAGAAGTTGTGAGTCTTTGGCTTGCACTGATTTGTTTCTGACCCAAGACTATTCTGGTCACCACTTGGGCCCTCAGTTCGGTATTGTGTTTGACTTACCTTGCTTCTCCTCTCCTTCTCCTTACCTTATAGTCAACCAAAAATCAAAACCTATTGCTCTCTCACCTGCTAGTTGTTCCCTTGCCTTATTCAGCTCCTTGAAACAAAGACACTATGAAGACTGGGGTTTGTGCAATACAGGTTTATGGTGCTGTAGGTGTTATAATTTTATTTCAGTTTGCTGTACCTGACATTTTTATGCAAAAATCAAAATGACATTAAGTAGCAAGGCATGAGTTTTATTTTTGAAGTGCCTTTACCCAGTATCAGCATTATGATTCAGTGTTATTGTTACATTCCTCTCTCAAAGGAAGCAATCACTTCTACTTTGTGCAGTGTGGCTTATATAAATGTATTGAATTAAGGTTGCATTTCATGTAATAGAGTAATATATTAATATAATTCACTAAAGTTATTCCTGTTTTTCCTGGTTTCCTGTGACATATCCCCTCAAGGGTATGCTCACTCGTGGTGCTAATGACATAAGAAGATGTGTACTCAAGTCCTTATTCAGTAAATAAATGTTTTTGCAGTAAGCTACTCTGGTGGGATGTCTCATCTGTGTCAGACCTGTGGGTAGGTTTCAAGGTGTGTCATACCTTGGAAGCTGTTCCAGCCCTTGGACTGCAGTAGCTGCTGAGACAACTAGTTGGCCATGTGTCTGGAGGTGCAGCAAGCCTGCATGAAGTAATACGGGTGCCCTGCTACATTCGGGCCTTGCTTTCCTTCTGCAGTGGCCTCAAAGGGCAGCTCTGCTGCATCTGGGGAGCAGGGGCTACAGGCCATTTTTCCTGGCACTGAAGCAGCCTCTCATTTTAGCGACTGCTGAATTTATTTCTCCTGGAATGTATTTGCTCTGTGTGACTGTGTCTTTGAGTTCATAATGTTCTAAAGATCCACCAAAAGGTTTTATACAAATTACCCAGTTCACGGCCTCATCATATGTGTAATCTACACAGTCTACTAATTCCATTCTATTTTACTGCTAGACTAGGAGTTTGTGTGGGTGATGATACAGTACCACATTGTCTCTTCTCCATACTGTAGAAGAGAAGGTGTATTTTAAAATTCTGGCATAATTCTTCAGAGGGACAAAGTAGATTGGTTTGATGGGTTCTAGCTGGTACTAGGTAAATACGTTAAAATGAGGCAGGGAGTACTGTTGTGTATGGTTCAGTCTGCCAGTTCTTACAGGATTCTCATGGAAAAAAATAACCAACGTAAAAGCAGGAACATTCCTGCCAAATTACAAAATGTCTTTTGGAATTCAGGCTTGTGTTTGGGAAGGGGAGGAAGCTGTTTGTCAAGGTCTTCCTCTTCGTATTCTCTGATAGATTTTAAGGTGTCCATGCTCCTTTTTGCCTTCGGACTATTCTAGTCAAAATAACTCAAAAGCATCCTTTGGGAGCTTGTGTCTCTGTAGCAAATGTGAAGAATAAGCAAATATAAGTTTAATTTTAACTTGCATTAAATCTATTTGTACCTAACACTGGTAAACATAATGGTTACTGTTACAGTTATTTCATGTCTTGGAGCCTTTGTACCATAGAGTGAATGTAACTTAATGTAAGTGGCTGTGATACACAAGAGTTTGGTCCTGCTTTTGGAAAATAGAGAATTTGATTTGGAAACAGAGATATTTTGTGTTTGATGTCAAAACCAGAATAGGCAGCTGATGAGGTGTATTATCTTCAATAACAAGAATGGATATCTGTCAGTGCAACCCCCCCCGATCACATAGCTGTGTTTGGCTTCAGTCATCTTTGTGTTGGACTGATTGCTGATGTTAAAATTATTTCCTTGTATGATAGTAGGAGAACAGAATATTAATAGAGAAAACCCACTTGAAAGTCCTAAAAGAAGAGTTTATCTTTTCTTGCAGTGGAATTTCTTGGCAGGACCAAAGCTATTGAACCAGCAAAGATACAGCTCACTTAATTTAGTCATACTACTAAACAAAGTGGTCATTAAATACGAAGATCAAAATATATTCTATGATTTTCCAAAAATGCTGCAAGCTTTGTAGTACTTTCTGTGAGATGAAAGCTGAAATGATAATAGCTTTACATGGCGAGGATCATTTTTTACATGTACTTCAAAGGAAAAAAAAAGAAGCACCTGATTTTGAGAAAGATGGATGATGATGACACTTGTATTTTGTAACTGTTCAGCTGAAAACACTTACTACAGGAGTTTAAATTTTAGCTTTTCCAATAACTGATCGCTGTGTCAATGAGATGTGATAAATAAAGGTCATGGAGACTGTATCAAAGTTGAGTTGGTTTTATAACTTTTCCTCTTTTTCCTTAATTTAAGCATTTGTTTTGCTTCATTTTTTTCATAGTTCTGTACATTTTGGTTGAAATGTTTTATAATACCTACTGGTGAATTTTTGGGAGGGTGATAGCACTACTGTTGTTTTGATTATTGCACCTTTGAGTATTTTATCACTGTCTTTTAGCAGGATATGATTATTTTACTCCTCATTGTTTCCAGACATCCTGAAAAATGTTACACTGGTGGTTTTGGAGAGGTCTGATAATGTTCTTTCACAAAACTGATTATAAGGTACAGAGTTAAAAAGTGACTGGTGAGAGTGCATGGAAAATTTGACCCAGGTATTTTAGAAATGGTCTTTCTTGCCCCTCAAGGTAACACGCTGACGGCCAGGAAAAATGAGTGCATTCTGGGCTTTCCTTGATTTCAGTTTGGCTGTTCTACAAAATGAATTCACTTCAGTAGAAGTCCAGTAAATTTTTAACTGACAAATACTTCTTACTTTTTTCCTTAAAATCGGTAAAGCTCACAGCCCATCTATAACCTGACAAAATAAATCCACCTCACTTAATATGAAGTCTTATAGAAAATAACATATTTTTTATTATTATGCATAGGTATTTTTATCGTTTTCTTCTGATAAAAAAGCTATAGGCACAGATCAGAGTTGGTTTGTTTTCACTGTTGGTGTATTGCCCAAAAATGTGAAGGAATGTGTGGGACACACACTTTTCTAGTGCTGTAACGGCACTTTGAGTATCTTTCTTTCCTCATCTGTCATAGCCTTTAAGCAGTGCACTTTTTTATGAGTACACTAATAGAGACTTTACTGAAAGGAGTGCACGGCAGACTCCGGCATTCCATCTGTCATGTGGACCATCCATTTACTAGCTTGGTTTACTTCTGATTCTCCTTTCAGGCTTTAGATCAGAAACTTTTTATATCTTCAATTTAATGAATTGTGGAGACAATTGCCTTGGATAATGCACTGTTTGGTAAAGCAGTTGTTGGTTGGGCTCTGTGTAGTTAAGGAGCTGGCATGGAGCAGGGAGAGGGGTTTAGCTAGTGATGTTGCAGCACCTCAGCTGAGAGATGCATTCCCATGGACTTAAAAGGGGGAAAACAGGGTTTTTGACTTCCGTGTTGTCTGACCTGAAATGGCTTGTTCAAGAAAGGTGGATTGAAACTTAGTTGGAAAAATTACTGACCTGACACCATTTAACACTGAGAGCAAGAAGAGCATCCAATGCTACCAGCTTGCATTGCTGTTGCTGTAGGACAAGACTTGCATGAGCACAGAACTGAGTGGGAAACCCATCTTGGGAGTTCCCAGTTCCTACTGGCACGCAAACATGAAACAGAATCCCTTTTCTCCCTCAAAGTGATCTTTCGGTGCACTTCTGATGGTTCTCCTTAGAAGTATTTCAACACTGCTTTCTGCATCTGAAGTCGACTGTAACTACAGATCTAGGAAGCACCTTGTCTTCCGTGCTTGTAACGTAGCGAGTAGTGAGTGACTACAGCTGTCTGAGTAATAACCTGTACTGCCTTCTGGGGAAGTTACAACAACTGAAGTCGTTATTTAGCTGTTGTTCCGCTTTGCTCTTTCTATTAGATGCTATTTTAGTAGGTGTAGTCAGCAGGGGTTGAAAGAGAATAACAAGTGACTTTTCCTTTGGTCCAAGAAGAAAATTCAGTTTGTTCGCACAAGATGCTATTGTCTTCTGGATGCGGTCAGGTGAAAGGAACTGACCTCTGTGCCAATCAACAGGTCTCTTAGACTATTACTGGTAACAGCATGAGCCTCACACAGTAAGTCTCACTTTAAGCAAAGGGTTCAGAAGAATGAAAAGGGAAAACTGTGGCTTTAGGAGCTTTAAAAAGCCATTTCCACACAATCAGAACAGCTTGGGGCCAGCAGCAAGGGACTGGTATGAAACCTGGGTCATACCTGCTTGTGCTGGTGGCAGGGAAAGATTTAATGCAAAAGTTCTTGTTTTATGGCTCTATGACCAGCAGAAATCCCAGAATATAAGCAAGATTGTCTTCTGTTCTGTACAGTACAGTATTAAGATGCAGTGCTTCTGGTGCAGCTAACTTTACTTTAATATTCATGAACATATGTAAATGACTTCTTTCCATTCCCTAGATATAAAATGAAAATGCACTTTTTTTCGAGGAGCCTGGTATGGCAGGAAATAACTGAACAAAGAGGACCTTCAGGAAACTAGCAATTGTGCAACATATTTTTGGGTGTAGTTAAAACTGAGTAGAGCAAAAGCCTTTGAATCTAAGATGGAGTTTTCCCTAGTTTGCTTTTTTTGACATGACCATGTTGAGTTCCTGTTCTCTTTCTAGAAAGAGTACGAATTTTTAAAAGCCATGTTAGTGTAAGCATATCATCTTCACGTAAACTATCCTAACTGTATAGGATGAGAGCTAACCCATGGATTAAAGCAGCTTGTGAATACGTATAGGAATTGAATTGTTGCTGAACAATGAAATTAAACATGTTTTCCTCCTGTGGTATCTAGGTCTTTTTCCTCCTCTTCCCACCTCCGCTAAACTAAATGTCTTTGTTTTCTTTTTCTTCATAGATTGAAATGCTAAGGAAGAAAGTAAAAGAAAAGGAATTATTTATAGTTCAGCTTTTAGAAAAAATATCTTTCTTAGAATGTGAGGTAAGGCATTACCTTTTAAGTTTGTATCATTGTGATTATTTTATGAAACCAAGTAAAATTTGAACTGGTGCCACCTGATGTTATCTGCATGCATATTTACTGTATGTATTCGCTGTTCTTCAGTATGGAAGTCAAACTCATGACACCAATCACATGGGGAATGTATGTAATATGAAGTCTCAATATTCATGCTAAGTTTCTTAAAATACAATTTTATAACAGTATTATAAATTACTTAAAACAGAAGCTTCTGAATAAAACTGTTGGTTTAATTTTTTTCCTCCCCAGAAGCAAGAATTCCTTTATTTTTTCAATAAATACTTTTACATTATCTCTTACAGGGATAAACCAAAGTGCAATTTTATTTCTTTTTTTAATTAACATAATTTAGAATCACAGAATGGTTTCGATTGGAAAAGACCTTTATGTCCAACCATCAGTCCAGCTCTACTAAGTCCCTAAAACTTAAATAAAATAAACTTGTGATGACAAATACTGTTTTCCAGAATAAAGAACTGCAAGATAAATTGGACTACTTAATGGAAAACCAACCAAAGAGCAATATAGAAACCAGAGATACTGGTGTAGGATGTGATCTTCCATACAGGTATTTACTGTTTCTGCTTCTTCACAGGAAACTTCTTCATAATGTCCTTCATTGGTGCTGTGTTAGTAAACCGTTGTGCTAATAGACTGACTGTGGAGTTTTGCAGAATTTTGCTAGTGTTTAAAAGAGCACATGTACTAGGTGTGATGTACTTCAGTGGCTTTTGGAGCAGAGTTGTTTGGTTTTTAAAGATGCAAATGTATTGCAAACCCTTGGGGAGTGCTTATTTACAGTAACATGATTTAAGCAGGGAGAAAAGCTAGAAGTCAAGAGATGTGACTTTGTGAAATATGGGTAATATTGGCAACAAGTCTCTGCTGGCAGTGCAGTAGAAGACAGTGGACAGCGCTACCTGGGGGCTGGTTAATGCTGGCCTCATGCATGCTTTATTCTTTGTGTTTTGGGAGATGCATCCCCAGACCCTTTTAAAGGGCTGGTAACACCAATGGTAACAGTTCAGGGCTGGAGCAGCTTCTGGAGATATCAGCCCTCGGTGACGACTGCCAAGTAAACAGCACGGTAACATTACCACTCTTGCACTGGAATGGTTGTCTCTGATCTGTGCTGGCCAGTAGCTCTGTTCCCTGGCTTTGTAAAGATCCAGGAATCGTGCCTCCCCTTCTCCTCCTCCCCTTTCTCTGCCCTGAACACTGCAACAGGGTTGCACTGAGCCCTGGGAGCGAGGCTATGGAGTTGCACTTGAATCTACCCCCCCAACAAGTCACCACAGGGAAGGGCAAAACTGAAAGGTAAGGAGGACCATTGCATGTTAGTTTTACTACCAACAAGTAAACCTGTTCATCTTAACTGCCCTGTAAATGGAATCATTTAGGTTGAGGAATGTAAATTAGCATATGAAATCAGCAAGCTGCAAGACAAACTAAGATTTCCTTCCCAATTTAAAAAGACACTCATTTCAGCGTTCAGCCTAGAGCATATTTTAATGGCATGAGTTTTGAAACCTTAAAAAGCTTTTTTCCACTCAGGGTGCCAACAGAAAGCTGTCTTTGTTGTCCTTTCTGGGGTTCCTCTGTATGTAACCACAGCCCCTATTTATCTGATATTTTTCCTATTTTTGAGATCTGTCTCTATGCAGAAATGTACCTCTATGCGGTTCGTATTTATGGAATTACTCTTCACAAATTAATCGCGTTCTTAAATGTAATACTTCTGTCTTTATTGTTGCAGGATCCTTAGTCCTAGTAGCTGTAGTGCTGGACATTCCAGTATGAGCTCCAGCAGATGCCTGCATGTAAAGTCGTCAGTATCTGCCATGGTTTTCATCAAATATTCTTTGTGGCATTATAGAAAAGAAATATGGAACATATCAAATACACGGAATAGTTAAATTTTAGTCAGTATCAGTAACAAGGCACAAGTTCATTGCTGTGGCATTTCCAGCGCAGCTGTCTGATACTCTGACATTAACTGTGTAAGCTTTTTCTTGTCTCCTTAACAGTACAAGTACTGAGAACAGAAGATCTCCTGAAAGTGCAAGGCCGGTGAGGACATACACCCCATTCAAGAGAGTGTTGGAATTTAGCACAAAGAACAGTACATCTTGAGCATTCGAGTCAGCGTGCTTTCTAAACACAAGCAAATATCTTGCGCCTTTGAAGCTTGATTAGATAATTTTTTATCAAGTCATAGAGAAGAACAGCAGCATGGAGTCTCGCTAAATTTATCCTGAAAGCAGTTTTTTAGTGACTTCGTATCTGAAGTTGCTACTGACGTTGACTGTGAGGGGGATATGGAATAAGTGGGATGAGTGAAACAGCAGTCAGTATTGCTTCTTTAGAAGCTGTCTAGTGCAATGTGTCATTTCAGATGCCTATGAAGAAGGAGTTGTAGAGCTATACAGGTTTGGGTTGTGTTTTTTTTTTCACTTGTGTTGTAATACTGCTTGTGTAATGAAGCTCTAACATATTTTAGTTTCAATACTACTAGAAGCAGTATCTGAAACTATGCTGGCAGAGGGCATTAGTCTGAAAGCTCCCCTTTGTCTGTGTACAGAGTATAAGGGCTGTTTGCACCTGTCAAAGAGACCTGGTATAGCTGAGGGCTTTGTCCACCTGGAAGAGGTTCACGTATAACCAGCTCTTTTGCTGCGAGGGAGGGATGCAGCTGGGCTGGTTCCAACAATTCCTCAATGCATGCAGACGGATGTCGTGTCTGTTGCTCAAAACAGTAAGCGATAGAGCAGATGATCATGGATTTTGCTTTGTTGGACTGAGGCACTGGTTTGCACTTCCTCAGTCACGGGACAGAGTGACTATTAGTGAGACATCAAATAGGAATTGTGTAGGAAAATCCCTGTCACTTTATTTGCTTTTTCATTAGAGTAAGGCATTTTCATTAAACAGAATTTTGCCTGAAGCAACCTGCAGCAATCCTTGCAATTCCTGCAGCAAAAGCAATCCCGAATCAGGATTTTGATTTTTGAGTACTCCATTTATTTATTTTTTTTCCCCAAAGCACTTAAAATCTTATCCTTGACTCCAATTTTTGAAAGACTGCATATAGTACTGAGCTTAAATATATATATATATATGGTATATATATATGGTATTTTTTTAACATCGTTTTGATCTCCCAGTCTTAGTGAACTAAAATGAATTATGAATATTTTCTTGTAGTTCTAGTAACATGAGTGAAGGGCATTTTTTAAAGTTACAGTAACTTCTATAGAAAACAAACAACTTCAATTTTGTATGATTAATATTGTTCTAACGTTGAATGTCGGTCCCAGGAGGTACTTGCTTTGGCACGTGGCTTCACCAAGTGACTGCTTTTATCTCTGGTCTACTGCAAGTTCTTAAATTCAGTAGTCTGTTCAGATCAAGCATACTCGATAGAGTTGTATTTAAAATAACAATATTTGCCTCATAATCCAAATCTTATTCCTGCATCACTTAATGGATTTCTGAATTTGTTAGAGAACTTAGTTGATTCTGTAGCTGTGCTGTTTAACTACTAAATAAAGAAGCTTGCGTTGGAGGATGGATTGAAGGATATTTTGATGTGAAACTCTAAAAGACAACACATTTAAACTGGAAGTGTACGCTGATGAACCCAAAAGGTGATAGGTAATGACCCAACTCAGTTTCAGGGACAAGCTTTGTACTTGTGTAATCCTATCTCCCTCTGGTGGCTGATAACAGCAAAAGTTTGCACAGTATTTCTTTTAGAAGGAAAAGACACTGAAACCTAGTCCCACCTGGCCCTATTAACGTCCATTAGGGATGCAGCTTTAATTCATTACATGATGCCTTTTAGCATTTTTTGTGCCCAAATAGTCTCCTCAGTATTACAGGAATTTAATCCTGAGCCATGGTTTGTGAAAACTGCCTTCAAACTTGACATGAATGCATGAAGGTGGTATTTATAAAGGGAAACGCGTGTTGTTGTAAAGGATATTAACTGACAAGTCTAAATAAGTAAAAATACCGCATTCCTCTGGTTTTGGCCAGAATTCAGAAAACAGGACCTGATGACTGTGAGGTGCTCAGTGAATGGTATGGACAGGATGATGCTGTTTTGACACAAAAGGAAGTTCGTTCTACTTTTAACGTACTTCTGAGGATCTCCTCAGAAATACTGCAAGCTATTCCAGGACTTGCAAAATCATGATCATGTGCTCAAAACTTCACCAAGACTGGAGCAAGGCATTGAATTTTTTCTGTAAAAGTTTTCTGTGTGAATTGTCTTGACTATTTGATGAAATATGTATTTTTTTCCTAAACCAAATAAGAACTTAAGTCTATGCTGTATTTTAAGAGCACTTTGACATGCGATGAGCTGGATGACCATCATTTGATTGGACTGCTAGTCTGAATTTGGTCACTGTGAAGAACAGGGGAGGAACAGCATTTATTTATTTGTGTTACATGAGAAGGTAGAGCTTTCCAGTCAAATCAGCAGCAATGTAAATTAGCACAGACAATAACAAATCTGACTGAAAAAAACAGTAACACTTCAGCATAAATTCTGTCAATTTGAGATTGGGTTAATTAGTACTATCATATTAGAAACTAGTAAAATTTCCGTAAACATAAATAAAAGCCATAGAGATAGGTCCCAGAAAGTGCATTAAATATAAGTCAATTGTATGACTACATTTGTACCATGATAAGTATTCCTTTGTGATTTATTCCAGATACTCTGGAAAGTATTTTGGGATACAGCTTTCATATTTGCTGTATAAATAATGCAGTTATGTTGTATGCTTTTAACACATCCTGTATGTAGGACGTGAAAAGGATAAATTGCAATAAATACTGTATTTAAACTTTCTGTTTTGCGTCAATATTCATTTAGAAATCAGTTTACCTTCAAACCTTGCAAACTCTTACTCCACACAGTCTTTGTTTGTTCAAAACATGTATGAATGCAAACGCAGTTCCTCTGGAGCCTTGATGTTCTTGTCAGTGTTTCCTTTGGCACTTGGGCTCTTGAGAACAGGAAGACACTCCCTTGCTAAAGACGAAAGGCTCTTCTCAAAGCCAAGTAACAAAAGTAGATGAACTCTTTTATGAAATAAAGAACTATTGACTTGCACACGATAAACAAGAACTGGGCAGCACAGCTCTTGCAAAAAAAGCAAAACCCAAACCCAACCACTTCAGATCCCACCGATAAAATCCAAATACATCTGGGATGATGCTCCCCAGGCTTCAGCATGATGAGATTGGGATGGCCTTTTTTTACAGGCTATATCTACTCACAGTTAACAGACATTTATCTTAAAGACTGACACAATGAAACAATCTGTATGTCAACTAAATAAGAAGAGGTCGTGCAAACATGACAATCACAGTGTTACTGTGTTTGCAATGCTCAGCTGAAGAATGGGAAGTTTTGTACTTCAGTAATGCTTCCCTGTGTACGTGTGTTCAGTACACATTGCCAAAAGGACCTCACAAAATCTTGCTGAGCCCAGCAAGTGCTGAACCTACAACATAGGAGTTGGATGCTAACGCTTTTCAGAGAGGCTTTAAATCTTTCTTTTGACATCTGAAGACTTTTACACATGGACAGAGGAGCAGATAGGTAAGAAGGAAGTTCCCTCCACACTAAGTCTGTAATTCTGTGCAGGAAATCCCTGCTTCATCGAATGGAGATGTACACCCTCCGAGTTTCATTCTACTTACGTTTTATTTCATTCCCATTCAGCACCTGGGGCTATTTGCATGTGTAAAAGAAGAAATGTGCTTAAGACACCTGATCAGTTAAGGCCCTTCCAGCCCCACCTCAAGCACCAGAACCCTGAAGAAACGCAGGAAAACAAGGTGAAGGAAGTCATCTACAACTTCAGGTATGTGAAAATTTTCAGAAGAAAAAGAGACCTGGTGGATTAAAGAGAAAATATGTAGAAGTGAGTGTTTACGAGGTTACACTGTTCTGTAAAGCCGTGCGTGATATGCAGGCATACTACAATATTCTGACGGTTGCTTTACTTTTAATACCAATTTTGGGCAGACTCGGATATTTCTGACAGGAAATTTTTCCACGTGAAAAAATTCAGCCAGTTGTGCTTCACAGCCATCTCCCTGAAAATGTCATATGACTGGAATACGTCACCTTAGTTGTAACTGGCATTGATAAAACAGAGATACTAAAAATTCAGACACAAATGTCTGTTGCAATAAGCCTTGTAACTGCTGCAATCTACTAAATCTATGCTAGGTTAGGCTACTTAGTTATTTGAATACCTTTCCTTTTAGCTGCAGTATACATGAGGAAGAATACTGCCGGCTCACACCTTGCTTTATGTTGTCTTTTTTTCATGAAGTTTATTGGTTTTTGTTAGTATATTTGATTTTTTTCTTCACTGTCACTTTAATAATTTAATTTTCTTGTAGGAATACTACTAAATTGCATAGTAATTCCAGCCATGCTATTGCAAAATAAATCTTATTGAACTCTAGATACGTAGTGACAGAAAACACGGACTGAAAACTGTATCTCATAATAGCTCTTTAGGTAATGTCCTAAGTGAGAAACATAGGTAAGCTCATTATGTACAAAATAACTGAAAAAACCAGCTTTGTTATATACTCACCTCACATGAATGCTGATTAAAATATTCAAGAAAGTGATACAAAATAAACCCTCTAATCAAAAAGGCCAAGAATGCTCTGAAGAAGACGATAAAAATATGACTGTGCACTGCAAGTAATGACAGTCCATCAGTCTCCCAGGAGAAGCAATTGCAATAGTGCTAAGACTAAACTTGCAGTAGGTATTGCTGGATGGTGATTATTCATGCTCACAGTGTGGCTGGTGAGGATTTTCCTACACACCTCTATTTCATCCCAGGGCAAGCAATGCCTAAGGATCTTTTTCTTCAGTCCCACAGGTGCTCCAGACTTCTGCTCCTTGACTGAGAATGCTTCAATCTATTTTTCGTTCTTCACATTTGTATCTAAATTGATACTACCAAGATTGCATTGCATTTCGATACTGCCCATGTCACAGAATCCCAGACCGTTAGGGATTGGAAGGGACCTCCAAAGCTCATCCAGTCCAATCCCCCTGCCGGAGCAGGAACACCCAGATGAGGTTA